TTTCCATTCCTATGGAAAGCATCAAAGGTGGTGACCCTCAAAGTTTCAATCAGAGCAAAAACCAACGACCGTCCGATATGCGTATCTTGCTACTTTCGACGGCTGCAATGACCGCAATCTCCGTTAAAATTTGGAAGATCTCGCGTCAGGGGCCCTGGGGCGTTTTACCTCAAGATTCGCCCCTGGAAATCCCGACTGCAACAAACAGAATTCCCAGGCCCGACTTGCGCTTGCCGGTTGAAGTTCCTCCTTCAGCTGGCACCCCGGTAAGCTTACGTGGCGGTAGCCTGGCCCGGTTGTCCGGCCCGAGTCCGTTGAATGTAGCCTGGCGCCAGGGTGCAGGCAGCCATGCTGACCAGCTCTGCTGCGGGCGCAAATTGTCCTTGCTAATACAGAATGGCTGCAGGAGCGCAGCGCTGCATAATGCTTAATGCATGGCCTTTTGTGCCAAGTTTCGTGAGTTTCCCTAGCCGGTGCGCAGGAGGGACCCCATTAAGAATGCCAAAAGTGCATGGCCACTGGATTCAGCATATTAACGGGGCAACGGAGATTGCGGGGTAGCCATTGGGTGCATACAATCCGTTGCAAATGTAGGGGACCTCTAGGGGATACGGAAGGAGAATTTAAAGCAAGCATGCCCCGCATCATACCGAGTTAAGTAGGTCTGCAAGTGGCGTGGGGCAAGGAAGTACTCTTTGGCAAGGCTGGCACTTCTCAAGTGGTCCCGTCATCCATCATGGCATCCCCAGCTTGGGAAGCCGACAAGATGTGAGTGACTACAGCTTTGGGCAGACGGCATTCTGGTCACTTAGCGCTGCGCTTCTTTGATCAGCAATATTAACCTTCCTTGATGAATTTGTCCAAGTCAGATGTGTTGCACCCCAATGTTGTTATAACAGCACCACTCCCAGTTCTGTATGGCTGAGTTTCTTGAATCCTACCTCTATTTTAACCCCAGCATTGCCCATTGAATCAAGATGCAGGCGTGATGACAAGCTGCACTGCTTCTACATTGGTTCTTATTGCCCGAATTCAGAGCTTTGAATTATGTTGGTTGCTGCAAGATTTGCGCAAATGCAGTATCTTGTCAACATCGTTTGGACGCACTGCTGCTTGTTGAAGTGCTTGTTTAGAAAGATTTAAAAAAATGCTCTCGAGGAGGCGGACTCGCATACCATTTGCTCATTTATACTGAGAAGATCGGTGATGCTGTTTGATGAGGAAGTTGCTGCTACATTGAAATCTTTTTGCGGCAGCCTGTCTCACTAGCTGCTTAATTTATGGCAAAAACCAACCCTAGAGGCAATGAGCTGAGGCTTGTTAAATATCACCACGGCAAGCGTAATAGCAAGAGGTTTTCAATACAGTCCAAACACGCTGTCTCTCACTATATTGGAAGTATATTCGGGAACTGAGCATAGCAGGAATAGAAAAGAGCGGGGCAATGTAGTTGGAGGGGATTCTTCTGCTCTTTATTGCTTGCCTCAGTCAGTTCTCCCTTGTGCTTGAGAGGAATTTTGCAACCTGGCCACTGCTGGCCCTTTCTAAGATCAGCTTACAGGTTATAGCCGTTTTGCTCTACATTCTGTTGAGTTGATGCGAGCTGCTGCAAGTTTGTTCTGAAGGACATTTTGTCATTCGTTTAGTATAGCCTTGAACCACCCTGGTCAATCTGAATGATCCGACTTGTTACTTCCCATGATGCGGATCCAAGTGTCATCCTCCCAAAAAGCGCTACGGGTTTCGCGGCGACGGCCCAGGAATGAAAGGCTGGCAGAGGGATGCAGGCTGGTAGATCCTGAAGCCAACAAACTATTGTTGGGACTTTCGTTGGTTACAATCTGGACCAGACTTACAGCATTTCTGGCCTGCGAGGACCTATCGCCAATCAGGGCATGTTCGCGGGTCCGAAATTGAGAAATGACGCTACTGTTTTTATATCCTCTAAAGTTCAATCAGTGGACTCAAAAGTGTCAACGCCTTTTCACAGACCAGGAAGTCACTGTTTTGGCAGGAGTCAAAGAAGCGTCTAATGGACGTGTAAGGAACGAGAATGGAAAAATGAAGTCAGTCATTTCAAGCTTTTGCGCTCTCGTCGAAGTCATTAAGAAATCCCACACGGTTTTGTTACTGAATACCCATGTCGACTGCAGGCTTGATGCATACATCTATGACTACTTGCAAAAACGGAAACTCGCGAGGTCAGCTGAGGCCTTCATGATGGAAGCAAACGTGTCTGCTGATCCTGTTGGTAAGTTGTTTTGGCATGGTGGTGGGGCCTGTGAATCTGCGCTCCGCGTGTGGTGTTGCATATGCTACGGGGCAGGGAATTTGCCTCGCTCAGCTTGATTTTGGTTTCATTTCGGTTGGCTGTGGCGTTCTTAGCGCTTGTCATTGAAAAGGTCCTCAACTGCATCAGGCAAAATTATCCGAGTTGTGGATGTGCTTTGGATCAAACAAATCACTCTAGCCCTGTCATTTCTCATCTTGTTATGAGCCACCATTCATCCTTGAGGGGAAGCCGTTGCATGGGGGGTCCAAAGTGGGACTTAGTATCAGCGTACTCTCCTCTGTGTCTGCAGCAATCGATGCCCCTGGGGGTTTCCTCTTCGAATGGTGGTCAGTGTTCTGGGACATCTTCATCGCTCGGACAAACGAGAAGCATTCAGACGTTGCGCACTCCTACATTGAGGTGAGTACACGTGCGGCCATTATTTTCCTTTTCTTTGTTCTTTCAACAACGCTGATACTCAACTAATCCCTGGAACGCTCAACTTTTCTAGGAAACACAACAAGAGGGGCAAAAGCACTTAGGAAAACCTGCACCGTGAAACATCTGTCAGGCAAGATTTAAGATTTGAGGTCTCTACAGAGTGCGGATGTGAGCCAACAGATCGTGCCACACAGAGAGTGGCAAGTTGCTGTTTGTGAACCCGCAATGTTTGTAACTTACAAGTGTGCCCTGTAATACTCATGAATTGGCTGAAGGTCGATCTTTTTGCTTCCTTCTTTCCAGTCAAAAGAGTGGAGCAAACCTGTATTGATATGATCATCCTGCAAGGATTGGGGACGAGCATCAGACGTTCTCTGGTAGGAGCACTCAAAGAAGGACTGTTCGTGGCTTCTCATACAGGGCAGAAATCCCCCTGTTCTTTTGCTTTTCGGATGGTCACAGGGCCTTGATGGCAGCAGAATCTTTCCTGAAGGCTGTGTATTTCTTTGTGCAGGCTCAGCAGGCTAAGGTGAAGGAGCAGCGGCAACAGGCCCTGCAGCAGCAGCAGCAGGCGCAGCTGCATGCCCAGCAGCAACAGATTCAGCAGCAACAACAGGCCCAACAGGGCCTCGCGTCGCAACAGCAGGCAACCTCGCAGTGGCAGCTGTTGCAGAACCAGCTTCAAATGCAGCAGCAACGTCAGGTCAGGAGTGACAAGCGGGAGGACCAGGATGTGTCCGCCTATTCTGACCTGGGCGTCTTTAATAAGCAGTTGGACATTCTGGTCAGTATTGAACTCATATGGCTTCTGTGTGCAACTGGCATCAAGTCCACCCCTGGTGTTCTGCACCTTAGCATCGCAAGTTTGATCAAGTCTGTGATCAGAGCTGCGAAAGCAGTACGCTTGCCCTTGTTCTTGTGCACTCCGTCCGTTTCATCCTTGAGACCGGAAGCATTCAAACGTACTCTTTTGTGCATCAGGCGGCACAGAGGCGAGAAAATGCTCCCAATGGGGCAACGCAATCTGGCATTACGACGGAGACCCTGATGCGGCACTCTCCTGCTAACCTCCTTGCGACCAAGCTGTACCAGGAGAACTTGAAAAGTCCAAGGCTTCCAGAGGGGATGAGTCTGGACGAAGCGATTCTTAAAGTGAGTGGCTCTCGCGTGATCTGCTTGAGGGGCGAATACTTGACCTAGGAGTTTGACCTTTGAGGAGAGCCGCAAATATCATCAGCGCTAGAAGACTTTGTATGGTTACTCTCTGCATGTACTGGACGTGTAGGGAGGCAGTGCTGACGCGTACTATCCACTTCGCCCGCCATGCATCGCTTCTCGCCCCCTGAATCATCCTCTATTGAGCTTCTAAAACCCGACAAAGAGAAGAGCTTTTTCTATGCAGCCAGGGTGACGTTTGTTCCAATTGCAGGCCCTCATAACTGACCCAATTGCAATCGATTACGTATCAAGCTAACGACATATCCAACCCCTGCAGCGATATGCGGAGGCGAATGCGGGCCAGATCTTGCAACCGCAACAGCAAGCCACCTTGCTTCGGTCCACATCTGCAAACACGTCCGGATTGCCGAACTCGTTGTCTGATCTGGACACCTCCATAGCAAGGTAAGCCGTTGTGAAAGCTTGCTGTGGTCCAGACTCCGTTCTTCGCAGGTTATCCAAAGCACAACTTGTTCAGAGTGTTGGGTGGATACAAAAGTGCATAGTCCGCTGTCTATCCCGTAGATCGAAGGCGACACTTGTGGGACGGAAGGTTTTGCACCTTGTGATTTGATCGCCGATGCAACTCTCGTCCCTTGTTCTGATGTTAGGCTGGCTGTTTGCAGACAAATCTTGGCAGCCAACGGAGCTAGTAATGCTGCAGTTATTCAACAGGCACGGACGCAGCTTCTATCGCCGGGGCTGAACCAGGTGGGCAGCTCTCTTACTTCGGGCTCCGTCATCCTCTCCTGCATCTGTATTGCTTGGGACATGTTCTGCGACCGAGATCCGTAGGAATACTTCTGGCAGCATAGATGGAACCTTCTGCTTTCCTTCGATTTGTCGACAGTTGGGGTCGAATCCTTGCTGGTGCCGAATGTGCCTCCTCAGACGGTTAATTATGACTTTGCAGGATGACAAGTCGTCGATCATGGGGAGGCAGAGCAGCCCCCCGAGAGCGGACATGGTGGCTGCGCTGACCAAAGCGGGCTTCTCTGGTAAGCCCACGTCCTGTCGCGCCGAAACCAAGGAAAGTTGATCGTCGACTTCTTTAGCCTCACATGCGCTTGCCAACCTTGTCCCTTGCCTCTTGTCGAGCTTGGCCCCTTGATCCCCAGCTAGATTTTCGAACGATCGTGTCTCAAACGGGCGTGTGAAGTCCTTGCCTTTGATGAAGCCCGGCTGACCAGGACGCTCAGACCTAGGGACGACTCTGATTCTCGCCCCTCTGCCCTCCAGCCGGCCAGTTGGCCACTCAGGCACTTGGCAAGAACTGGCCGGCGGCCAACATTGAGCAGATCCGGCAGCAGCAGCAGCAGCAAGCCGCACATCAGCAGCTCCAACAGGCGGCTCAGCAGCAGCAAGCGGCGGCGCAACAGCAACAGCAGCAAAATCAACAACAAGCCCAACAGGTGAGGCTCGTGAAGCTGCAGCGCCAATCGAAGCCCTGCTGGGCCGGGCGATTGTGCTACCCCTCTGCCGGCTTTGGTGTCCAGGCAACAAAGTGCGAGTCTTTGGTACCGCAGTGGGAGACGATTTCTAGCTTGTTATGCGGACTCTTGCCCTTCCCACTTTTCCAGCACTTTCTTTTCAGAAAGAACGAGGTAACCCACGTCGTACGAACATGACTCTTCGCCTATAAGCAACTCACGTAATGGGCGTGCAAAAACCTCGTAAGTCAGCCCCGGTGTCCCGTCTCTAAGCCCCCTCACCCTTTGCACTCTTCGTGCAGGCCCAGCAGCAGCAGCAGCAGACCTCTCATCAGCCGCCGCAGCTGCAGCGGCAGGGCAGCAATGTGTCCGCCGGCCAGTTCCAGTTCCAGTCCCCCCAGCAGTATCAGCAGTTCCAGATGCTCAGCCCCCTGCAGCAGCGAGAGCTGCTCATGCACGCACAGGCGCAGCAGGCAGCGGCATTGGGACAAAACCAACAAGAAAGGTGGGCAAATTCTTACTTTGCATCCTTCGTTTTCCGTTCATAATTCCGAGGGCGGATTGGTAATATGCCGGCTGCAAGCATGCACCCGTCTTTTTAGATATGACTGTCTGAATGAACTTTTCCCTTAACAGGCATGGGTACTGCAGTATGCCTGTTGGCTAGATAAGACTGATGTTCCTGGTGCGATTTCTTGAGAAGGAAGAGGCGGAAGTCTAGTTAGCGAAACAGTGCGAATCTGGTCAGGGACCCGTTCGAACGAAATGACGGTGCATTGAGAGATTGTGCTCGGTCCCGAGCTCGTCGGCAACATGAGCCGCTCATGGGCGCTCTCGCAGGTTGCGCCAGATGATGGCCGGGAAGGGCTTTGGGCACGAGGGCAGCCAAAACGGCAGCCCCGGGGCGAGCTCCAACAGCCAGGGCCCCACGCTGCCCCTCCAACAGCAGGAGCTGCTGCTCAAGGTAAGCGCCAAGGGATGCCGATAAGTTACGCAATATGTCAGCTCTATCCTCAACGGGCGCTGCGATCCTTCTCAACCGATGTGAGGATGCCGATTCAAATGTTAGGATCATTGTCGGTACTGGATGCGTGAAAGTGGTACTCCTCGGATTGGCAACTAGAAGGCAAGTGTAATGGTCACATTTGCGAAGCAGCTGCAGTCAGTAAGGGGCTACGCTCGTTTCTCTTGATCAACTGCGTCATCGATCTGCGTAGGAAGCGCTCTAAAATGAGCAAGTCCCACAGCCGAGAAGTCCACGTAGCACTGGCTATTAAGCCCTTGATTGTGCAAGGGCCTACTAGGATAGTAGTTCTCTTTGATTGCCTTTTTTTACTCAAGGGCCTCCTCTTCTACTCAACGCCTCCGTTATGTAACTCGTCTACTATGTGGGCCGTTTGCGTTGCCATCGTCTCCTATCATTTCAGCTGCATGATCGTAAGTCGGTCCAAGTACATATTGAACCACTTTTCTCCTGTCAATGCAGTTGCAAGCCCAGCGGTCTGCCAACCAACTCCAGGCACAGTTCCACCAGCAACAACAACAAGTGGCAGCAGCCGCTGCCGCGTTGCAAAAGGGGGGCCAGAACGGCCCCGGAAACTCCCCCCACCTTCAACAACTACTACGGCAGAGTTCCAACCACTCTCTGCAAGTGGGGGCAAACGGGGTGATCCCCCAACCCGGGGGGGATCACCCGGCAACTTCCACTGACAGCCGAAAGACTGGAAAGGGGGCCGGGGGAAGGAAACGGAAACAACCGGGAACGAATTCGAACGCAGTGCCAACCTCGAGCACGGGGACGGGAACCACAGTGGGGGGTTCGATGGCGGGGGCGTCGGAGCCCCCCACACCGACGACTAACCGGAACGAGGCGCTTCTGGCGAGTTTACAGCAGTCGAGCGACGCGTTGAGGGGGGCGCACGTGGGGTATGGAGAGGGAAGGGCCGACGCGCAAGCCACTGTGAGCCACTGCGAGTCCCTTCCTCTCCTTGGTCTCACCTTGCGAGCCAGTGTGTTGGACCGGGCAGCGCTTTTTGGCCTGAGCTTTCAGGTAGTAGGACGACTGAAAACGCACGAAGCGCATGAACGAACGAACGAATATCTGGATTACTCCTTCGGTCATCATTTGAAATAGAGTGGTCTGGACTGGTCTGGTTGGGGAATTGCAGGCATGCGCGGGACGTGAGTCTGACACGTGTCGTGGTGCGACTGATGTAGGAGAAGGTCGGAGAAGTGCATTTGCTTCGTTGTTGCTCACTGTCGTCAGGCGATGCTTTCCACGCCCAGTTTCGCTAGCTTAAAGTAATGGCCTGGACTTTCCCATGAGAATCAACGCGAAGAAGCCGCGGATTCTTCTGCTCTAAGGTGCGAGGCCGCGAGGGCACAGTAGACTTGTGTGCGCTTGGTCGATTGACCTGAACTACAGTATTATGAGGGCGGAAAGGTTTAATTGTCTCCTTTTTGTCCTGCAGAGTGACCCCAGTCCCGAGGACGGTTCCATTGATCACGTCGAAACTTTCCTTTCGGCCGAGGCCGCAGACGACCTGCATTTGCGGGATGCGTTATTTGCTGCAAATAAGGAGGACGAACCGCACCCCAAACGTGAGCTCCATTTCATAGCTCTTCACGTTGTTCTCATTTGGCCAATCTCATCTGGGCAATCCTCTTCTTACCTCATCTAAACACCTTCTTGCTTCTTCTAGGCTAACATGTGTCCATGTAAAGATTGCATTATTGGACTAGCATCCGACTTTCTAGACGATGACAAACCATTGGCTCGGCTCAGTGTTTTGGCAGGCAGCCGTTCGCTGGACTTGATCTCTTACCCGACAACGAGGAACGACGTGTGCCTCCGTCCTTGTGCAGAGGTGGTGACGTCAGGCTTTTTGTTCGCTGAATGCGGAGTGTTGCGTGCGAGCACGGGGAAAGTGGTCAGCTGTCACTTTTCCCTGGACGGCAAAATCCTGGCCACTGCGGGCCACGATAAGAAGGTGAGTTTGTTTGCGGAATGCCTGCGAACACTAAAAACAGAGACGGACTGGGGAGTCCGCGTCTGTCGAAATGCTTCTCAGCTGAACGGTCTACGGGGTCGTGCCTAGTTCTTGTTGCATTCCCTCTTCTGCACGGGTAACTGTTGATCCGGAGCCCAGAAAGCATGTTCGTAAACTGGACCAGTTTCATCTTTACGGCTGTTGTCTTCAACATCCCTCCAACCTGCTATCTTTGCTTTTTGAACAGCCCTCTGCACTACTTCTTCGCTGCACCTGCCAAGCACAGCCTTGTGGCAAATCTGACGCTTCATTATAGAACCACTCCCGAACAGAGCAAAGGTCCGAAGTGACTGAGAACTTGCAGATGCCGCAGAATCTGTAAGCAGAGCGCTCACCGAGCGGGTCTCCTAAGGATCTTGAGTCTGACCTTTTGAAGCTTCCCTGCAGGCTATCTTGTGGGACGTGGACACGCAAAAGATCCGGAATCGGCTAGAGGAGCACACACTAATCATCACGGACGTCCGGTTCGCCGCTACCTCCAACCGGCTTGCGACGTCGTCCTTTGACAAGACTGTTCGCGTGTGGGACGCTGACAGCGTAAGGCTCTTGTGGCGCTGGTCTAAGAGGTGCAAGCAGATTCTGCACATGTGCTTCGAGGTGTTCGCTGACGCCGCATTTGTTCGTGGAGTTGGCTTCTTCTTCGTTAACAGAGAGTAAGGGGCCGGCACAAGCTCAGAGCGACTTCGAGAGGGAGATGTTCGTGCTTACTTGTCGCTTCTTTTATGATTTCTGAGCATAAGCAAGACTCAGAAGAATTTCTCGAACTTTGTAAACCGCCAATCTGCTGAACAAGGACTACACTTCCACGTTGGGCTCATTGGTCTGTAAGCCTTCAAGAAATCTTTCGTCGAGCGTGCTTGTTGCTGTCTTCTTATGTGTGCACAGTTATCGAACCAGTGTATGTGCCCGTTGGCAACGCCAAGGGCTGAAAAATGTATTACCATCGCAGTCCCCAGAATCCTCAGAATCCTGAACAGAACAGGACACATCATCAACAATTTTTGAGCACGAAGTCTGCGGGCTTTTGCATCTCGTGATGTAGGCAAATTAGTCAGAGTGCAGCGAGTTCTGCTACAAAGGACTTGAAAGGATTCCCTGTTGAGCCCAAAGGTTCTCAAGTACGGAGACGATTCTCGGAAGGTCCTGATTTTCCTTGTTGTGGCCGCAGGAGAGTTCGTGTTCGCTGCGCACGTTTGCGCGCCACCAGCAGTCGGTGATGTCAGTCGACTTCCACCCCGCGAATGATGACGTTGTGTGCTCGTGTGACTCCGATGGGGAGGTGCGCATGTGGAGCGTCGACAAAGGCACGTGCACACGAGTGTTCAAGGTGGGTGGATGTAATGAAGATTGACTAAACCTTTGGTGTCCGTGAGGTACGACTAAGAATCTTCTGCCGCCCCAGATTATGCGGAAGCAGACGTCTCAGCCGGATTGCGGCGCAGAGTCCAACAAGACGTTCCCGGAATGCTTCTCTTGCTCCGACCCATTTATATGTCCTTCGTCCTATTCCTACTTGGGCTCTCGGACTAGCGTCTTTCGGCATCTTAGCAATGTCGTCTTGGAGAACTCATGCGTTCTGTTGAACCAACATTCAACTCTTACTGGTCGTCGCTTGAATGCTCCTCCAACTCTTCCTTCCAGAACGTCTATCTTTTGTCAAAAGCGCTCGGATACTTTTGCTGGTTACCCCCTGGCCCCAGGTGCGCCACACAAATCTCAGGACTTATCCCCATACCTCGTGATCATTGCAGGGCGCGTCGATGCAAGTCCGATTCCAACCTCGGACAGGTCTGCTGCTCGCCATGGCGTCCGAGGACTCCGTGACCATGTACGACCTCGAATCGGAACAGCCCCGATTCACGTTGCAGGTAATTACTCTGAAGCATTCGAAACGGACGCTCAGTGGTTCCCGCACGCCGTTTAAGGCAAGCTGTGCTAGACACGGTTAGGTGGAAGTCGAGCAGCAGATTCCCGAAGCATCCCCGAAGCATCGGCGTTCGGTCTTAGCAACCGAAGTGGGTCGTCCAGTGACAGCTGACAAGTAGCTCTAGTTCTGCGCACTTTGCTTTGAGCAGAATGGCACCCTCAGACTCAAGTCGCTCGAAGAAAGTGTCGGGGCCAAAAAGTACTAAAGGTGCACTATGCGGTACTGGTTGCAGGATGTTTCAGATTCAGAATGAGTACATCATGAGCAGCTTCAGCGAACTTGACTGAGCGAACCCGACTTGCATCGCAACTGAATGTTGCCGCGAATTACTTTTCTCTCCCACAGCGGCACGCGGAGCCCGTGCAAGCCGTGTGCTGGGACCCAATGGGTGACGTCATGGCGTCCGTCAGCGAGGACAGCGTCCGCATCTGGGCGTTCGGGACGGGCGGGGGCGAGGGGGAGTGCCTGCACGAGCTCATCAGCAGCGGCAACAAGTTCCACTCGTGCGTCTTCCACCCGACATACACGTCGCTCCTCGTCATCGGATGCTATGAGGTGAGGTCATCAGAGCCCTTGGGTTCCAGAAAATTGGGAGTGAGGGTAAGGTATGTGTAACGGGGTTTGGGAAGTCTGTGGCTTTAACCGCTTAAGAGGTTGGGGTAGGGAATCAGGGTCTCCGGTTTCCAGTTTCGTTCGGGGCGACAACTTGGGGGCTTTCCGTTGTCGTGCTCGCAGAATGCATTTGACGCCAGGGCTTTCTCGGTGTCAGGGGAAGTAAAATGGGCATGTCAGTGGCCTAGGGTCTTGCAGGCTAGGGTCGTATGTGCATGCCTTGAGCCAATTATTTTGATTGGAGACTCAAAGTCACGCAAGGTGTTCCTGCAGCCAAATTGCGGACCTCTTCTGCTTCTGTGAAGTTCAGCACTCTAGTGATCATCGCTGCGCTGTCTCAAATCTTTTATAGTTAGCTGCGGGAGATATAGGTCCCGTTTCTGTAGGCGGCTTCGATCGTCCCTTTTCCAAATCTGCCTCTCTCTGTGCAGTCTCTGGAGCTTTGGAACATGATGGAGAACAAGAGTATGACAGTGATGGCCCATGAGGGCCTTATAGCATCCCTTGCACAGTCACGGGTGACCGGAATGGTCGCCTCCGCCAGCCACGACAAATCTGTCAAGCTGTGGAAGTGACATGAACTGGCGGAAAGGGAGCTGGTGGGGGCATCTGACTCGAAGGGATATACTAATGAACAGATTCGGAGAGGTGTTATGAGTTTGTCAACTCCCGGGCGATGGGGTAAAGCCTGTTGTCCGATGTGTTGTCCGATGGGCAAGCTCGCCTGTTCGATGGCGTTGCAAGGTGGCTTAGAAATTGTTTAAGGATAGGCTATCCTTAACAACGCTTGGTTATTCTTAACAACGTACGGTAATCGCGCGTAGGTGTTCGAGTCGTCTAAGTGCGTCCCTCCAGCCCGTAGCAAGACATCAAAGATGTTGGCAATCTGGGGCAGTGCAACCTAATAAACTTGAAGAGTTCTCCGTGTTTGTGTCTCCTTGGTCAAGCCGCATGTCGCGTGCCAGGTTTTTAGACTAGTCACTGAGACGTGACAACGCTTCATGTTAGACTGAGAATGTGAACAACGGCCTATCGAAGCGCGTGGCATGGTCCGACTACTACAACCGCCAATCGGACCAGAATATCCGATGCATGGCCCAGTGGGCGCATTAACATGAGGCCAGCTATATAATTGTCACGCGAGTGTCGCGCCAGATTGTATCGCGACCGGGTTATCTCG